CAGAGCTCCAGGCAGGAGGAACCCAAACCCTCATAGTTCATCCAACAGTGTGTGTCCAGTGCTCATCAGAGCAACCTGAATGCCATCAGCGTTGTGGGCTCCATCTCCTTCATCTATGGTGGGAGACCAGCCCCAGGGCTGCAGTGGAGATGCCTCCTGGGGCAGGAGTCTGGCAGGGCAATTGTGGGGGGTGCTGCATCTCCAGAGATGGGCAAGTTTTGGAGGCAAGGAGAAAAAGCACCTTTCCTCAGAAGAGGGGCACATCTGCTAAGCCCTATGTCCCAGCTAAAAGAGTGTTCAATGAAATATTTCTAGCAATCTTGTAGTGAAACATATTTCCTCCGTCCTCGGCCCCGGGAATAGCTGATCCATTTTAGTTGCAGCTCTCAAAAAACTTTCCCTGAAACAGCCAACACATAAAATTTCAGCCCCAAAAGGCAAGATTTTAATTGACTATAATGGGGCCAGCGATGTCATTCAACCAGCTGCCAGTAGTCGTAACGAGTAGTGATTAAATACCTTACAAAAAGAGTGAGCCAAGCTACCCGAATGTAATCTGGGCCCTTCTCACACCTCCCCCTTCGTGTTTTTTCTCTTCTTATTTTGCAAAACAGGATGTTCAGATAGGGAAAGCTTGTGGGGGTTTTGACAGCATAGAAAAGGGATTAAAGAACAATATCATAGTTTCAACTATTTCAACTGTTGTCGTCACAAAGAATTGTAATAGAGGCAAAGACAGAAAGTTCGTACAAAAATATTTATTTCTCAAAATTTGCATTAAATATTGCATCTAAAAATTACCATTACTTAAATATAGGAAATATAACCTGGGCATTAGTCTTAATTTAAAAAAATATATCTATTAAAAAATACTCTTATTTTTCCAGAGTGGCGTTATTGCACCTGATCCCTCCGCTATAAAAAATTAAATAGAAACACACTAAAGTCAGATTGGGGAACATTTTCGATTTCCTGACTATCTTGAAATGAAATTGAAGCATTTCGGACGGAGCCCATGGGTGGCCATGGCTCACAGGGTGGCAGGGTCTGTCCCGGGGCCTCAGTTCAGCTCCAGCTCATTCACGTACTGCTGGACCCACGCGTTCTCTGGGTCGGCGCAGATTTCGCGGCCCTTCTTCGTGATGAACCTGTGGGGTGCAGAGAGGTGGGTTTTCGGTGGGGGAGCACTGCACAGAGAGGAGCCCTGCCCCAAGCCCAGCCTCTCCTGAGGATCAGCAGAATTTGGGCATGCAGCATGCCGTGCCCATCACATCAAGCGGCCACCAGTTGGTGGTGGCGTCAGCTCCTGAGCCCAAAGAGCATTGCCGTGCACCCCTTGTCCCCCCATCCTCCCATCCCCCGGGGTCAGCCTCCATCCTGTCTTCTGAGGAGGGATCCTTCCCTCTCTGGATCCTCAGCCCAAAGGGAGAGCCCACCATCGCCCTGGAGGAGACGACTTACACGACACCCGGCTGGGAGCAGAGGCTGTTGGTCTCGTAGTACTCCACCACGAAGCTGCGGGGCAGCTGCCGGGAGGTGTAGCTGAAGCAGCAGGAGGTCGGCGGGTCGGAGCCCACTGCAAAAGACAAAGATGGTCATCAGCAGTGGTGAAGGATGGGGAGCAAGGGCAGGGAGCTGGGACCACAGATTCCCAGGTCTGGGCAGTGGGGAGGACGTGGAGGAGGAAGAGAAAAGATGGAGTCTTTATTCTTCTTCCTTTGATTCTTTCTCTTTTGGGTTCACCCATGCTGTGCTTTGAGCTGTGCCTTCCCCACGGCAGGAGAGCCCCAATGGCCCTAGAGCACCTACCAGAGGGTGGTCTGCCATGGCAAGGGACCCGGGGGTGGAAGAAGGGATTCTGTCCCAGCAGTGACATCTCTCCTGTCCCCATTTAGAGAGGAGGGGGAGACCCTGTACTTACTCGGTGCAGCGGAGCTCTGGTAGCGGAAGACGGC